TCGGACAATAGCGAGCCAGGCCTAATGTGTTAATACCACCGTAAGCGGCCGAATGAAGGAGTTCGTTGAGGATCGGTTCTACCGGCGGTGACATTTCCAGGGTAGCCAACTCGAATCCGACGGCTTTGGCGGCCATTTCCACCTCCTTCTCTGTTATTTTTGGACGAAGAGTAGTTTCAGAAAGCACATGTACAAGCGTTTTTAAGTGTTTGCTGATTCCAGAAATCGCATAGACAGTGAAGTCTCTGAAAATATCATAGGAAGGATGAGACAGATGATTGGCCGAGGACCGGTTATTAAAGGAGTAAGTTGGCCAAAAAACATCAAGTTCAAAAACACAGATAAGCGGCTTGGTTATAAAAACATCTCACTTGACTCCGAGAAGTCGAAATTGAAAGTTTGGTAAAGATGTGGTATTCAATGCAAACATTGGAATAAAAAGCGATGATTCAAAACTATGGTTGAAGGAAAGTTATTAATTTTGCGAAAATTCCCATGTTATAATTAAAAATCAGTTTAGACAAACAGCTTTTTTCGATCACTCATCAACAGGCCTTTACATTGACAAAGGAAATAAATAAGTTAATTATGCACAGGACTTATATGGGTCTTGGGGTTGGGGGGAGCGATTAATCACCTCTTCGTTCCCTCAACTTTTGCATGAGGGAGTTAGAGTTTTGGGGATAATAAAGGAAGGAAAGAGGGAAACGCACACATTCAATTGGAACAAAACCGCAAATAAATGTTAGTGTGAATGCGCAAAAATACCTTGCGATTTGGCAGTCGAATATAGCACTGCAATTTTCAAGTTCGGCCTGAACTGCGTCACGATCCTTGTATGCATCAGTAGACTAAAAGAAACAGTTAAATAACTGCAAACATACATGAAAACCCAACTTCTCGATGAAGTGTGAAGTTCCATTTACGTGGTTGATTTCAAAACGGGGCCCAGCAGAGACCATAACTAAAAATTCGCAAAACCGAGCAAGGAAATATACCCCCAATTGTGCAGTGCATTCCAAATTTATTTTGGGAAACGACACGAAGACCGTTTTTAAGGGTGGTCATTTTTACATCTGACTCGTCCTCGAATTTCGAAGATGCCTCCTGTGAAGGACGGGTCGGCAGGGCTTCTGTTAATGGCAGTTTAGTAACATCCGTAGACAGGGAGGAAGTTTGCAGAAAATGTCCGCACGCATTTGAAGGTAATAATGCGCGAAAACGAGCTGTGAGGCTTGATGACGGGATCCGGGAGGGAATTAGCCTGCTAAACCGCCCTAACATATTTATGCACAGAGAAGCACCTTCCAC